TATCTAATTTAATAACTTATCACCTGGTGCCTCGTTGCCAATTCTGATTTCCTTGGATTGTGCTCAGGTTGGGTCCTGGGGAAGCCAAGGGTGAAGAAGATGTACCCAAATTCCCTTCCTCCTTCCTCCCAATTCTGGACTGAAAGGCAGAAGTCATCAGGGTCAGAGACTGGGTCTGTCAGGGACTGGAATTGAGGCTAAGTAATTCTCTGGAGGAGTCTACCAGTTCGACCTCTTGGACTATCCCTCTTTGGATTGCTGGGGCATTGAGTCAAGTAGGCAGCCTTTGATTTACCAGCCTTGGTTGTGGCACGTGTGGAATGATGGTCATTGTGGTTCGTGGTCCTATGAGAAGCCCGCCCTGCATGCTTCCCTGTATCTCTGAACTCAGTTCTCATTCCAATCACCAAGCATCTCCAGTGCCAGCCCTGAGCACATAACTCTGACTCCCAACGGAAGTGTCACTGGTACTTCCCATGTTCTTATCCCTCTTGGGTCACATAGGAATCTTGCTTTTTCTCTAGAGTCATTCTCTCCATACGTTTGTCACCTTTGAATTGCCAATGCCATTCATTTATGTGCAGGAAAGCAAGTCCCTGGCAACTCCTGAAAATTATCTTAGAGAATGCTTAAGTGAACGTTGAGTTTTCTGCAAATTCTTGTAGTCGTATCTGAGCCTGAATGGATCAGGAAAGCATAGTTGCCCCTAATAACCTCACCATGTAGTCCATGCTTTCTGCTCTGAGACCTTTGGCTTAAACTCACTGGACTTTTTTAAACTATCGGGCTGTCACTTTTCACATGACCGCCCAGAATCTGGATGTTTCTCTGTGGCCGTCAGGTGAATACTAATGATTGGCCCTGGTCACCGTTGAAGGGGCTTCTATCAAAATCATCTTGGTCTTGAGGAAAGGTTTCCTAACACTTAACTAAGACCTTCACTTACCTTGGAGCATGGGCCCTGATCTTTCCCTGGAAACACATGCCTTTCTTCTGGAAATTCATCTTCTGTTGGTTCTAGGACACAATACTCAGCTGGGTTTGCTTTCCTTGCCTAGATGTTCACGTTTTGTCTGCAGGTTTGTCTGCCTCTGCCCACTCCCTGGACACTACTGAGCTACAAGTCTCTTGTCTAGGCCTGCTTCTTCTTTAACTTGTTATGCCCTTCCTAGGCAATTTCACTAACTCTCATGCTACAAATACCGTTTGTGGATATTTAAGAATTGATCTTTTTATCTACAGCTCAGAGTTCCCCCCAGAGTGCTAGATTCACACTTTCAGCCACCTATCCTCCCAATCAAATTACTCTAAACTCAAGCAGGGTTTCCATTCTAGGGCTTCTTTTTGTGCGGTTTCTTGAAGCCATAAATCCCACTATCATCTACCATGTCACACAAACCAAAACCTGTGGCCGCCCTTGTAATTTTGTTCTCCTTTAATTTCCTTGCTCCATCTATTGTCAGTTTTCACTGTGTTTATTTCAGGTAATTATCCTTTTTATTGCATCTCCAAATCTCCACTGCTATTTCTTGAGTCTTTGTTACTATCATCTTCTACCTATGTGCCTACGATAATCTCCAAACTCATTTCTCCAAGCCACTTTGTCTCCACGTTGACGCTGGGATGATGTGCTGGAAGCACAAATCTGACTCATGAGCACACGAGTATTTAGATGACTGTCTGTTTAGCTTGGGCTATGGACCAAAACCATCATCATAGCCTGCAGTGCCATGTGTGAACTGGCTCCTGCTTCCCTCTCCAGCATCTTTCTTTGCCTTCTTTCTCACCTTTTGACCCCTTAAATACTACATATCTGCCATACACTAGGTTCCTCACCACTCGCAAAGCCTGACCAAGGGTGTCTGCTTTACTGCTCCTGTCTGCACCCTAGAGCTGAAAGTTGCTATCTTAGTTAGGATTTCTATTGCTGTGAAGAGACACCATGACCATGGTAACTCTTATAAAAGTAGAAAAAAGCATTTAATTGGGGTAACTTACAGTTTCAGAAGTTTAATCCATTATCATCATGGTGTGATATGGTGGCCTATAGGCAGACATGGCGCTGGAGATGCAGCTGAGATTCCTACATCTTGACTTGCAGGCAAAAGGAAGTAGCCTGTATCAGTGGACATGATTTGAGCATATATGAGACTTCATAGCTTGTCTTCACAGTGACACAATTCCTCCAACAGAATTACACCTACTCCAACAAGGCCACACCTCCTAATAGTGACAAACTTGATGCTGGAGAAGTAGCTGAGAACCCTACATCTTGACTTGAAGGCAATAGGAAGTCATCTGTCTCAGTGGGCATGACTTGAGCATATAAGAGACCTCAAGGCATGCCTCCTTCCTCCAAGAGGACCACACTTACTCCAACAAGGCCACACCCCCTACGAGTGCTACACCCTTTGGGGGCCATTATTCTTTCAAACCACAGTTGCCATTACCAATTATTGAGTATGTCCTCACAGGGTTACACATACCAGGGAGTGCAAATTCTCTGACAACAGGGACTGTGTTTGCTTACCACGATGTCTCCAGATGCCTGCCATCAGTGGATGTTTACATACCTAAGGCGTGGGGTGTGAATCTCATTAGACCAGTGACAACAGGGATATTACATAGGAAGAGGCTCTCAGGGCACTTCAGCCTTGCACTCCAGAACAGGTACTAAGTACAGATAACTCCACCAATGATGCCATGATCTAGAGCCAACCTTTGCTCTAATTCTGAATATAAAAATTGTCAGCATTGGGGGCCTTGTGATCTGCGGTGCTCTCTTTCCTTTGGTCTTGGTTTTATCAACTAGCTTTTTCCTAGAAATCATACCTTCAATCTCATAAATAGAGGCTATTTAGGACTATTCAGAAGTACCCCTACTCTGCAATACCAGACTGCCCTGACTAAAGATACACTGGCTATCCCCACATGCATCAGAAAATCAGTGCACTGCAAAATGGCAGAAGCTTATCAGACAGCCCTGGAGTTGAATGAATTGGTCTTGCCTTTATCTGGCAGAAGTAATGAATAAAATATTTCACCTTTAATGGCTTCTATGAAAATGTTTTTTGACCCTACAGAGATTATAGTTTGGACCCAACACTTAGACACACGGCAGCTAAAGATGCATAACTGAATTAATAAATAAGTGATTCTGGCCTGTGCATTTTTATGTCCCCACAACCTTCACAGTGACTGTGAGGAGGAGTCCTTTGGTCAACACTGACATTGTAGCGATGAAAAGGACACAGCACCTGCTCTTAAAGGCTTCCCATTCCCACCAAGGGCACTCTGCTAAGTAAACCAACTCGCCAGAGTTAACTAAAATTTGGGGAAAGTGTCTGGAGAGAATATGCACTCTACACACATAAACAAAAAAAATTGAAAAGTATCAATGTGCTGGAGGCCTGCACTTAAGCAGCAGGGAGTTTGGGGAATCAGATTCAAAGTTTTGTGTTGAAAAAGCAACCCTTCAATTCAGTGCTCAGCTAAGTTCTATGAATACATGACTAAAAGCAAGAGAAAACTCAACTTGGTTCCATGAGGACAAATGTGTGTGGGCAGAGACATCATCCCTTTAGCCAAATACCAAAAAACCACATACATTTAGAGAGCGCCTATTATGAGTCAGGATCTGTGCTAACATAGGAAACAAAGATAAAAGAGGCATAATGCTACCCGCGAGGAGCTTGCAGACCAGTGGAAAAGACAGATGTGAAAACAAGCAACTAATAATATCGGTACATTGTGGTATGAGAGACCGTGAGGTATCCTCAAACTGTTATAAAGTGTTATCAGAATTTAGTGGAGAAAGAAACTCTGCCAGAGGCACAGGAGGCCACAGAAGGTATATTGGCTGATGAAGGATGAACTGGTGCTGATGTTGCAGAAAAGTAGAGATGAGTTTGGGAAAAGGTGCTTCTGACTTTAAATTGCTAACCAAAAAAGTGATTCTAATGGGGAAATAAAGACAGCAGGAGAAAATTACCCTAGGATGCTGGTAGTCCATGGTCTACCCTCCAGAATGTCTGAGACAGGAAATTGACTTCCATCCTTAGTAAACTCATGAAGAGGCTGGTCTCCGCCTCTCTTTGTTCACTTACTTTGCTATAGAGCAAGCAAAGCAGCTGTTTGAAGATAAGGGATGAGGAAGAAGGGGTTTCGGGGGATGTATTCAAAGTTTCTCATCACTAAGGCCTAAGTTTGAAGTTACCAACCTGGGAAATATTGTTTCTGACATTAATATCATCCACGGACTTCTAGCAAGGCCTTTCATTTTTTTTGCCTTTGTTTTTTGGTATTTTTTTTCCATATCTAAAATTGGGAAAACAATGTCTGGTTTTGGAACTATTTGTGATTGACCAAGTTAGAGCCGTGAACCACCCACACAGTCTAAAGACATAAGTGGTCAGTTCATACTTTCCTTTACGAGAGAGACTGGGTCAGCAAGTTAACATATAGTATTACATAATGGCCAAAATTGAAATTTGTCATGTTTTCTAAACCCAAGGCTATTCCTTTTTATCTACTACTTTTTCCTCTACTGTTGGCTTCTTATATAAAAAATAATAAAGCAAAAGATTCCTTAGATAGCAAGTAATTTTAACTGTGTTACTTTAACACAAAGCTATTATTTCCATTACATAATCTGAAACATAATTCTATGAGCCCAGGAACTGACTGGCGAGCCAAGGAGTGAACTCTCACAGCAAAGCAACATAATGAATAAAACCTTATGCTCCCACATGGCAAATATGAGAAACTCTTGTTTGCTTTAGAATGTCAGTTTCTTCACCTTGAAGAGGACATCATAGAAATCCCAATCTCTTAAGGAATTAATTCTCAGAGGGGACTCTGTAGAACAATGTATCTGAAGCTCTCAGCACAGTGCCTGGCACATAGTTCGTTTTAATAAATAGACACTGTTCTCACTGTCACCGTTGCCTGGTCACGTGTGAGCCTTTCTAATATCTTCCTCCTCCTGTTTTCCTCCCAAGGTGCTTCCACGCAGAATTCTAACACTGTGGAGCCAGAGAAGCAGGTAGACAACACGGTGAAGATGGCAGGTGTGATCGCTGGCCTCCTCATGTTCATCATCATTCTCCTGGGTGTGATGCTGACCATCAAAAGGAGGTGAGTCTTGACACTGCCCAGAAGATCTTGCTGACCCCATGACCCTAGCACTAGCATGTGGCTGGGGCGTATTTCTGTCAACTACTGTCCAGTAGAGCTTTTCCCATAGGATCCGTGAGTTCCTTGTGTGATTGTTTGAGAGATATATATTGCCTCCTTGACAAGTGTCTTTGAGAAGGCCAGCTTTTTAGGTGGTCAGTGATTCCTGTTGCTTCATTGTTGTGCCATGGAGTCTGGTTATGATGAAGTAAGTCTTCTTGGAATTAACTACTGTGGATGGTTTGTGACACCCTCAAGATGGATGGGGAGCTCCAGGAGCACAGATAAACACAGTAAAATGATGCTTCACCTTTTCTTTACTGCATTTCTCCAGTATCCACCAGTCAAGAGCAGCCTCTCCTGTTGCCACAAAGCCTCCAAAGGAATGAGACTTCAGAAATTCTCCTACATGAGACTCCTTCCTTTGCCATGTCTCACCAGATCTTCCCAGCCAGTTATTACCATGTATTATCTTTTATCAGAATGTTTCCCTGGGCACCTATGGGCAACTAATACCGTTTTCTTATGTTGTATGTAAATCGCATTACTGATGAAAGCAAGGGTACCAATACCTTTATTGCCAAGGTTCAACCTCCCATACTCATCATCTGCTTAATAAATAGTCACAGGTTTGAAGATAATACAAAGAATTCAAAGAAAGAGGTAGAAAAATGCAAAGCATGGGTAGGAGCAAGCATTATCATTAATGATCATTGAATATTACTCAAAACCGGATCCCCAACCATCTATGTTTGGCCTTTACCTTTCACCGTATTGGCAAACTTCATTTCCAAGTTTCACTGATGGACTCCAGTCACAGCCTCCATCTTCCTAGATTCCAGCCAAACCTAAGAAGGCATCAGCCATATTATAGTAACATCTGCTACAACCCTATCTTTCCAGAATGCAAACAGCAGTTTACGAAACTAGTCTTTAAAGTTACACCTGACACTGGAGCTCTGGGTTTGGTTAGCTGTGAAGTTCAGGAAAACAGCAATGAGAAGGACCAGGGAATTTCTACCATCTTCAAGTTGAAAGACACTTTGGAACTTATTTTTCCACCAGAATAAAGAAACTAAATGCCCCCAAAGACACCACTAGGTCTACTCAAGGAGTCACATGAGTACCAGTGAGGAAACAAATTGAAAAACAATGTCCTTATTTTTAGTCACCGACGACTCAGAAATGCTAGTGCTGGCGTTATGTGTGCAGCTGGTCTTTTCTCATCCGTGAAACCGCCAGTTGTCCTTGTTGATCTCTCTCTCATGGGAAAAGCTTTGACTCTGCCCGTCTTCTTCCTTACCAAGATCTCTTCTTTCGGGGACTTGGCCTTTTATTTATATATTTTATCTAATGCTACTGTTCCTCTTCTCAAGTAACCAATGGAATGGCATAAGAGTTAAGGTTCCCAACCAGTTATCAATTTTCTCATTGGAAAAAAATAGAGTGAAAGGAAGATTTTATGTTATCAGTGTGAACACAGGGGCTTCAGAGAGCTAAAGGGAGCCGTTCCTTGTAATCCCATTATCATTGATTAAACATGACCATACTGCATGTCCCGGGGACTAGCCAATCAGCCACTATTATTTGAAGCAGAACATGCACTTTGAGTTCTCTGGGAGTGGTGAGCATATTGTACATATAAGATCACAGACAGGTCTATTAGCCTTGCAGGTGTGGCAGAGGCAGAGGTGAGTCTGGGACTGTCTACATGGAAAAAAGCAGCCAATTAAATGGAATTGAATATCGTGAAATTTTCTGATTCTTTGCCACCAATTTGTAAGTCAGATATGTTCTTCCAATTTTGCTCTTTCTAAAGCCTGGCTTAACCTACGTCACCATCGACTGTGAGCTTGCGAGAAAAAAAAAATTCACTTCCTTCTCAGCAGCTATTTCTGAAATGTGTGATTTTCCGGGAGGGAGGAAAGGGATGGCTTTCTGCTTCTAGGGTGAGGGTACACAGAGAGTGAGCCTTCCGTGTGGTTTAACCTCTCCCAGGGGTATCTTTATCACCTCTCATGTCTACAAAACTGTCAGACACAACCAACAGGTGTCACATGATCACCATTTATTTCCCAGAGCAAAATTTAGACCCCGTGGCAATGCACAGCTTGGGGATGCTGATCTGTACTTGCATATGCAGTCTATGGGCATGTTTCTGCTGGTTGATAGGAATAATGCACAGATGGTGTGAAGGGGGATGGGGGCTAAAAAGGAGTAGGGGGGAAAGGAGGAGAGGAAAGGTAAGGTGGGGGAGGAAAGAAATTTAGCACAGGCCTGCTTCTTTCTCCTAACCATGTTTTCCCATGTCTAAGAGATGCCTCGAGGACAATGAAGGCCACCACAGTGAACTCATTCTTTCTGTGGAATTCTTCTGACTCCAGCCCGTTGAATAAATATGGGGACATAATTCAATCCAGACTGTTACTAACAAGCTGCTAGCCAAAATGCTACCCACAGCAGCCTGGAAGGGAGACGTTTAGAGTAACGGACCCACTGAATGATGAATGAGTAAATCAAGGCAGCTCAGGATCCCTGGGTCAGGCAGGGTCCTTTCAGCGCCCCATTCTCACCTCCAGTTCCCGGGTCGATGGGTTCTCAGAGGGCAAATACCTGCTTGCCGTTACCTATCTCCTTCACTGGCTTGAACTTGGCAGGGCCATCCCCCTGTCCTCCATGGTCACGAATGCAGTGACAGGTTTTGGTTGTTGATTTTTTTTTCTGCTCCCTATGCCTCTAAATCTTGAGTTGAGTCCATCTCAGATCTTTCTAGGCTACAGCCACAGATGTTTCCATAAACACAGATGTCCCCAGACTCTCCCTCTTAGGGGTTCACCGTCATTGATGGTGAAGCTCTCCTCTTACTCTCCAAAAAAAAATCTGTCTTCTTGCTAGGGTTTCTCTTCAGTAACAGAATGGGAAAGCAGGCAGAGAATTACTTGAAGTGCAAAGAATAAAAGGAAGAACTTTATGGAGAAATTAATTTACATTTAGATGACTCAAGAAAATAGTAAGAAAGGGAAATAGGAAGGAAAAAATTAACAAAAAATCGGTTGAATGTTTTATATTCTTTCCTTGTACTTGTTTTATAATGCAGAGGAGGGTCTTTAGAGATAAAAGTCAAATGGTGATGTCAATGGAGGCTTAAATAAGACTTTTTATAGTTTCCAAAACACTGCAATTAAAATTTAGGATTATTTTTGAATCACTCTTAACCATTCATTTTTGACTGTGGACCTATGCATAATCTGGATGTCATGTAAAGTAGACTCTAAACCCTTAGCCCTTCCCTGACACACTTGATTTCCAGCATGGTGTTAGCCATGCTCACTGCAAAATATCCATCCTTAGTTTCTCTTTTGCATCAGGATCTACCAGTTATATCTAGACTTCAGAGTATTCCAGAACGGATGCTCCAAGCCACATACCATGCCATTATGTAGTAATACATACTCTTTAGGTCCTGAACTCCCAACAATGAGAAGCCCTCAGTGCCAGCTCCTCTCTGCAGTCCGGAGTTCATTTTTCCTTTTACTTTTTTTTTTTTTATTTTGGAGTCTTTAGAGTGTCTCCTCCAAAGAAATAGGCAAGCAAGAGGTTGTGAGGCACCTACATCGTCCCTTAGCCTGATACCGTAGAGCACTGCATACTTTCAGGGCAGAGTGAGATAGAAATTCCAAGTTTTTGTGCCTTAATTGGGAACATCTTGACGGTGGAAGCTGCCATTAGCCACTCCCATATCAACACCTCTAGGCCACGCCTATGCGCCCACGTTTCACGTACTTCAGTGTCATGTTGCTTTGGAATTTGCTTCCTGGAGTCTGAGAATGGAGTTTGTTATACTTTCCTTTCAGTCTCTACGATAAAGAACAGTCTAACCAAAATTAGCTTAGTCAACAGGTTACAGCCCATCGTTGAGGGCAGTCAGGACAGGAAACCAAGCAGGATCTTGAAGGCAGGCTTGCTTACCACAAAAACCACACAAATGAGAATCAAACCTAGCAAACAAAAACAAGAAAATAAAACATGTCTAAACTAATAAAAATCCCACAAAAACAAAAGACATGGAGTTAGTTCATTTTGTGTTGCTGCCAAGTTTAATGGGGACTAGTCAGACTTTGTTCCATATACCTCTGTAAGGAATCAGAATGTCTGATGCCAACAGGAACATTCATTGTACCAAACTCGTTCCAAAATTGTCACCAAAGTGCTACCAGCAAGTCTGCAAATGACACTCACACAATCACCCAGTTTCTTCATTCCCTGCTTAGACTCCTGGGTGCCCTGATGATCACTCTTTCAATGGTCATAATTGCCTGGATCTGTTGAGGATTCCATTCTGCTGTTGATTTGTTTTTTATAAATAGGAAGTGGAGTTCCAAAGGGTTATATGAGTTGGCCAAGGTGCTGGGGTAAGTGTAGAAATAAATCCAGACTGTGATTCCAGAGCCCAAAATGCTAGTTTTCAGCAATCTTGCAAGATTACCAAAAAAAAACAAACAAACAAACAAACAAACAAATCATAGAGGTTCTGGTTTGGATATCACTTTCCCGCTCTTGATTTTGCTGTACTCTAATTTTGGACCCAAGTTTCCCCAGGTGAAATATTTTGACCTATTTCTTTGCCTATAAGATTCTTATCGCTGTCAAACTTTTACCCCCACATTCTCCCAAATATGAATCCCAGTGTGATGTCCTGGCACAGTCTTCCTACATTCCAGGCCCAGTAGAATGGCCCAGTGATGGTCCCTTGCATGCAGCCCCTATGTTGCCTGCACTAGTTTTCCTGTGTCTTCATCACCACATAACCTAGTGGTGATTGTTTTACTGATCTGGAGATGGAAGTGGCCCATGATGGTAAGGGGCTTCTACTTCAGGCCTCTCTCACTGTATCATATACACTTGGACATCCACTGGGCTTTTTCAGAATCAATGTAGAAACCATTGTCTATCTGCCAACC